GCGGGGTCAGTGTGGGGCGGGCCGTGGGCCCACCCCTCCGCTCAGGGGCTCTGGCCGGGTCTGACTCTGAAACCTTGGTGCTCCCTCCTTGCCTCGTGCCCAGTCCCATGTAACCCGCTGGCTCCTGCATTAACCCAGGGGCACCTCGCTTGTATCTGTGCATTTCGCTGGGAATTTACCCACTATAATGAACTGAATAAACTGTTTATAAACGGAATTCCGGTATCTGTGTTGCTTGTAGAAGAATAGCTGTGCATGGTCCAAGTCTTAAAAATGGCATTCCTTGCTGCTGCCCTCACCTTTCACTTAGAAACCCCAAACTCCACTTTCTCTTCTTCTCCCCAGTTCCCTCCCCGAGGACTCATTTCTTAGTCCCCAGCATTTCCCTGTACTCTAGTAAACCCAAGCAAACCCTTCCCCTCGTGAAAAGTATAGATGAATGGGGGCTGGCTTTCTCACGATTACCAGAATGCTCAGGATCTGGCTTTTGAGTTTCTTAAATATATGTTCTTTAAAGAATGACGTGCAGAGCTGGCCCTGTGTGTGGTAGAATAGCAAGCCGCCTATGTGGCCCACAGGGAAGGTAACGTGGATGGGCAAGAGACTTCTCCAAACATGGCTCTTGTTTTGATTCAGCACATCCGTCCCCTTGAATACACTTCCCTTCTTAATCTACCACAGCTAGGGAACAATATAACAGGGGTGGAAGTAGCCTTTGCTTACAGTTGCGATAAAATGCCGTTTCCTATAGAAATCTGGGAGAGAAGAGGTTGACTTCTTCCATCGCCTTGACCTTGGAGAGGTGGGCACCGCTTTTCTTGTCTGGCATGCTAATGTGTCCTGGCAAAGCACTTACAGTAGAACTGTGCTGTTTGTTCAGGACCTTTATATAATGAGATCTACATAAATTTTGGTGCCATTTTCAAGATTTTGAAGGAAAATCTACCATAAATGCGCTCTTTTCTGCCTCTCCTGTAAATGTCAGGATTCCTCAGCCAACTGGGTCCTCAGCCAACTTCTCTTTCCATTCTACCCACTCTCCCTGGTCAGTCTTACCTATTCCCATATCTCTAATCGTTAATGTACTGATGATTCCTGGCCTAGTGGATACAGGCCTCTCAAACTCAGCATGGACCAAACAGAAGTAAGCATTCCCCGGCCGCATGCTCCTCTTCCTACCGTTAATAGTGTCTGTTCCAGAAAATGGCACCACCATCCATCCAGTGTCCATGCCAAACAAGTCCACTGGACTTGCTGATATTTTTAGTCACCATACAGATCACTCCGAGTGTGCTAGAGTGCTACATAATAAACATTCTCCAAATCTCAACGGCTTAAAGTTATTTCCTCACTCGTGACTCATGTCCAGTGCCAGGCCACGGGAAGGTTCTGTCGTCAGTCCTCAAGGAGGGGCTTCCTGTAAACATGTGTTCAGGTTATCAGTGTGGCAGGAAGGGAGCATCAGGAATTGGGCACTGGCACTCAAGGCTTCCGTCTGGAAGTTGGGTTAGGAGCTCTCCTCATGTTTTACTGGCCAAAACAAGTCACGTGACCCCGCCTAACCTCAGAGGTGGCAGGGGACACATGTCACCGAAAGGAGAAATGTGATGTTTGTGAACATTTGCATTCCTGATGACAACTTTAGTCAAAGAATGGGGCGAATTCCCCTTGACTCAGAAGTATTTTCGAATGAGGTGTGCATCCTACATGATGATTCTATATTTGTATCACTAATAGAATATGTTTTTTGAAGTATGATTTTTTTTTTATTATTCGTTTTGAGTGAGGATTGTTTGTTTAAAATTGACTGAACTGCTTAGTGCATTTAAAAATAGCATCCTTGGGGACGCCTGGCTGGCTCAGTCGGTGGAGCGTGAGACTCTTGATCTCAGGGTGGTGAGTTTGAGCCCTGCGTTGGGTATAGAGATTACTTAAAAAGAAAATCTTTTAAAAAAAAAAAAAATAGCATCCTTATTTAGAACTAAGCTGCTTTTCATACTAGCAGAAGATTCAATTTGTAAAACCATAATTTACTAAATAAACCAGTTATGGCATAATTATTAGAAAATAATGGATATTCTTTTCTCATCCTTTAAATAGCACGCTAAGTGCATTTCAAAATCTTCTACTGGTCTTTATACCATCAAGACCACGGGCAATCCCGCTAACACAAGGGCTTGCCTTTAGCCCAGGCTCTGGATCCTGAGCCTAACAGAATCCTTCCCTCCAGCCATTCCCTGTTGTCTGCAACTCTCCCCCTGCTTCATCCCCTTCTCCCTCTCTGTTGGATCACCCCATCAGACCCTAATCGTGGTCCCCACATCCCTCCCTTGGGCAAACAGACACTTGTTCATAGCCCCACACAGCAAAACCCCTCCCCACGGCTCCCCATGGTCACTGCCTCACAATGCACTTTTCCTCCAGCCAACACTATTGAGACATCTTTAACCAAGGTCGCCATCTTGGTGAAGCACCACAGAAATTTCTCTGCCCTTGTCTTATTCTGCGCATCACCAGCATTTGATACAGTTAATAGCTCTCCCCTTGAAATATTTTATCTAGCTTCCATGACCCAACATTCTTCTGCTTTTCTTTCAACCCCATCTATGGCTCCTTATTCTTCACCAGGCTCTCTGCTTGGCCTCTGAATCTCCATGCCTCTCTCCTCCCCCAGTCTTGGCCTTTGGCCCTTTTCTATTTGCATTCTCATGTTGACACCATTTCACCCATGACTGTAATCACCATAGGGACTCTGGCCTCTCCCAAATGTCAGCCATATCTCCATCCCTGGCCTCTCCCCTACGTCCCAGGCTGGGAGATCCAATCACCCACCTGCATGTGTAATGCACTGCTCAAACATATCGTGTGGGAAACAAGTCTCCATTCTCCCCTCATCAAAACTTACCATCCCCACCTGTCCATCTAAGTTGATGACCCATGCATGACACACAGCACTGCTTACACTAAAGACCCAGGAGTCGTCCTTGATCACTCTCTCTTCTTACAACATACATTCAACTCATCGGCAAGGTTCTGTGCCCCAGATGCACCCCACGTCCAGTCTCCTTTCACCATACTACCTGGCACCACCCTAGTCCAACCGGTTCTCAGGCCTCTTCTTGTAACTAACAGCTTCCTGTTAACTACTCCCTGTGTAGAAGTCTGGCTGATTCAGATCACTAGCTTGCTTAGAATCCTCTTTCCACTTTCCATTTTTTAGAAAAAAATCCAAATTGCATTCCCTAATTATAATCTGGCCCTTCCTAACTTCCTGATCTTCCCTAACACCATTCCTCCTCCCTCTGTGAATTCTCCAGGCAAAGTAGATGTTCCTTCTGTTCCTTAACAACACACCTGCTCTGTCAGGGCCTCTGCAGGTGCCTTCTGCCCCCTCCATTGGGTCCACCCCCCACACAGACGCACACACTCAGGTTTCAATTCGCCTTCTCAGAGAGGCTTCCCCCATCACCAGGTTGACATGTCTGTTGCCTCCTTCACCCTCCATCCCCGTCCCAGCTACACTTCATCCTCGTTTCACGTTCCACACAGCACTCTCCACTTTCGGACCTCTACGCGCTGGCTTGTGTTTTCTGTCTTCATAAAAGGCAACTCCCTGAATGGCGGGGACTTTTGCCACTGCTCCTTCTCAGGGGCCACAATCATCCCGGCCTAGATCATCCACTCAGTAAGTATTTGTTGAATGAACGCAGTTCGACAAAACATAACCTGAGAGGGAGATCTGCCATCATTTGGGAAAAGGAGATGTTTTATCCAATACATGATAAGAACAACTGACACACTTCACTGCCCCCCCCCACCCCTTTCTATACAACTCCTTTCATTCATCCAATAAATACTGAAGGTTTTTCATGTACCAGGCACTGGAGAGGGGAGGAGCTCTGCACTTTAGATGAGTCGACACACAATCTAAAAAACCTTCAGACTTGGTATTTTTAAAAAGGCCTTGGCTACACCTTCCTTTTCTGAAACCGTGTCGTTTACATACACTTGTCTTCCCCCAGTTGCCAAATCAACCTGTAACTTCAGGAAGACCGGGGAAATGTTTAGAGTCCGTCGTCAAAATTCCGCTTCTGAAACCCGGCTTTGATCTTCCCGGGGCTGCTCTGCTGCCGGGGCCTCGGAGCCTCAGGAGCTGGCGGGCGCGAGAGCAGGAAGGTTGAGCAAGACGCAAAAACGGAACCCGAGAAGGCGCCGACGAGGCGCTCGGTTGTCCAGTGCTTCTTCCCGCGGCCCGGGACTGGCCCGACCCGCGCCCCGGGACTGGCCCG